TCGGTGCCGGCACCACCACACTCCAGAGTATAGTACAGGGTGGGAGGGCGGGGGACCAGAGCGACTATGGAGACGCCCAAAGGTCCCCCTCGGACCTTTGGCCTGAGACCGCCTGGCCGCCACGGAACAAAACAGTCAAAGACAAATATGTTCAGGATGCTAAGCGGCGGTGAAGCGCGGAGCGCCAGGAAAAAGACAGAGATGAGAGAGTGGCGAGCGACAATGCTAGCATTTTCCTGGCCGGGCTCAACGAGCCTCCGAAACACAAGAGGGTTGCACAACATGCAATTCGAGCAATATGTCGGTGCCGGCACCACCACACTCCCATAACCCCCATATTATAGGCCTTCAGGGTGGGTGGGTCGGGCCCTTAGTTCATCACGCGTTGATTCTGAAGGATCCGAGGGAACTGCGTGAGAAGCCACCGCAAGCAGGTCTCACCGTGGACGCCTGGCACCGCCTTCAGGCGGTCGAGCTGCTTCAGGAGGCGGCCCTTCTTCTCGTAGCGCTTGCAGCTCGCCAGGCTTTTCCAGCGGCCTCTCTTCTGGATCTGCACGATCGGGAGGTCGGTCCCAGGCCACTGGTCCGAACGCACCGCCGTGTCGAAGCATTGCGGGGTGAGGCGCAGAAGGCTCTCGGGCCCGAGCTTCTAGGGTCACGCGCCCGGAAGACCCCGGCGGCTACGAGCTCAGAGAGAGGCCGTCGAACACCAGCGCTCCCGCCTCGGTCGTCCGATGCAGCACCTGCAGGACTTTGGTGAGCAGCGGCCTTCGAGCCTCCGAGGTATCGCCGAAGATGATAGTGTCGTCGAAGTCGCCGCTCTTGGTGGGGCGCCCCTCCTCCTCTGGGCAGATCATGGCGGCCCAGCACCTCCTGGCGCCGTGGCCGCCCTGTGGCGGGATGAGCTGGTCCCGCCCCAGCCCGAGGCCCTCCGAGGCCCGCAGGTAGCCGTCGAAGAGCACGAGGGTGAGCGCCGCCGAGTTCACCATGAACGGCGTTCGCTGGCGGCCCATCCAGTGGGCGAGTGCCAGCGCAGCCTCCCACGGGCACCCATCCCGCGACCTGGTCTGCGAGGCTTTGCGGAAGCCACGCAGGGCCCGCCGCGTCCGGGGGAAGTGCGGCGTCTTCGCCCAGACCTCGTCGATGTGGTACATCAGGGCGTGGACGACGTTGTTGGCCCGGCTCGCGGGCTCCCCGTCTAAGAAGAGCTTGTCGAGGTAGCGCTCCAGGGCCTCGTCGTGAGCCTCTGTGCTCTCGGTCGAGAGGCGCTGTGCCTTCCACCAGGCCACGAGCATCTCGTACTCCCGCTGGTACAGCCGCAGCGTGGCCCCGCCTACCGACCTCTGCTTCAAGTAGCCCTCCTCGCCGGGGGACACCTTCACCGTCTTGGCCACGGCCCGTCTGGTGGAGGCGCGCCGCCGCCGATTGCCAGTCGGGGGACGACTGTCGACCCCGTCCGGCAGCAGAAGGCCCAGCGGCGGCCGGCCCCCGTTGGTCAGGGCCGCCTGCTGCGCGAGCCGCGCGGCCCAGCGCTCGGAGGGCGAGGCGACGCCGCTCCGCGCTGTCGCCACAGAGCTGGTGCCCGACGGCGTGCTCCCAGCCAGTAGTAAACCTCCGTGGACACGAGGGGACCTCGAGCGGCTTCGGCTGCGGGAGGCCCGCTGCCGCTGCCAGCTCGCGCTCCCAGCGCGGGTCGAGCGCCGGCTCGCCATCCCGGCGGAGGGCACCCGGCCCGAGAGCTTCCTTGAGCCCTCGGGCTGCGACGCGGCAGAGGCCAGGAGGGGCCAGCAGGCAAGCCACGAAGCGTCATCCCACTGCCTCCTCAGCTCTCCTGTCCTCTCTGGTATCTTTACTTAAACCTTCTAGACTTCATGGTACGGTAACACACACAAGGCCCTCTCAATGACACCCAAGGACGGGACGTTCGTGTCACGAAACACCGTCGGCTAAGGTACGGAAGCCCCATAGCGACAACAGTGATACTCGAACGACGCGCAGACCCAGATTTCTCGAAGATGTAACGAGGGGCGGGATACTTCAGGAGCCTCGAAGACCCTAGGGTTCTCGAGCGACACGGAGACCCCACACCGAGGCACACATCCTGAGGACTCCGCACCTGAAAAAAAAAAAAAATAAAAAAAGAAAAAACTTCAATTAAAAAATTAGAGTTATCTAAATCAGACCAAAAAAAAAAAAAAAAAAAACCAAACAAATTAAACCAATAGAGTCATCGCACCGAATGCCTTCCCAGAGCCTTCCGAGTCTGGGGCCCCAGTCGTGTTTGCTACACTCCAGCGGGCACACGGGGTAGCAATGTGTACATGACAGACATATCCGTGAGAAATCCAATGCAGTATCTTTTGCTGGACAGCGATGCAAAGAACGTTGAAGTGCGGCCCGGCCGAGACATCGACAGGGCACAGGATGCGGAGGCCAGCCGCCGCGCACGCAGCCGACACGCAGCCCAAGAGAACCTGCACCCCACGAGCGGGCGGTGGGGGGCCGAAGATCTTCAGCCCCCCAGCGCGGTCCCTGCGCCGGCGCGCGGGCCCCCTGCACTTCGCGCGCCGCCATGGCTTTGAGCATGTTACAACTTTTACTTATAACCCACAGCATGTCAGCCATATAACATGGACAACTCAACATATAAGTCCAACATCACGTCTTGCCATGTAGGTTTTATAACTGTCCTGAAACGTTCAATAAGTTCCCTTCGCCACCATACAAGCTATGGACATCATCCACATATGCAACGCTGGACACACAAGTCGGCGATAAGAAAAAACAAGCATCGCTAACCCCTAGATCGTCGCGCGGCCCTATTAACAACAACCCACATATATTTGGCTGTGGTACTTAGACAGTTACGAACCAGTTACGAAACAGTTACGAAACAGTTATAAACAGTTACGAAACAGTTACGAAACAGTTATAAACAGTTACGAAACAGTTACGAAACAATTACAAACCAGCGATGCTTGTGAGTGAGTCTGAGCATGAGTGAATCTGATTGACGGGGGACCATCTATGATGAGGGGAGGGGGGCGGCTTCGACACCGACAGTTCAAACAAAAACTAAACGATGGTGGCCAGGGAGTCCCACCGCACGGTGAACGCACCGCGCCGCCACCAGGCGGGCGCACGGGGGAGGCATCTTCCTCGCCCTCTCTTCCTCCCCCCCCTCCCCCCCCTGAGATGTTCAAGATGGCCCTTTGGGAAGAGGGAACGGCGACGAGTAGGAAAGGGGGTGGAGATTATAGTACCAGATATCAAGGTGGGGAGGAGGAGGGAGGAGGAGGAGGAGAAGGAGGGAAAACCCGAGGTCCGCATCTATGACCATAACGTTCCATTGTTTTCTTGCTTCGAGGGGACGGTTTTGGGGGGGCTTTGGACCCGTCGGGGGTCGCGGGGCATCGCTGCCGCGTTCTGGCTCCGCGTGGCGCGGCCCGCGCCGCCCTGCGTGGCCCGCTCCGCCTCGCGGGCCCGGGCGCTGCGGCAGCGGCGCAGGCCCGACTCTTTTTGGGGGGGCGGGAGAGGAGGGCGAGCGTTCGTGGGGCCCTCACAAGGCTCCGCACGAGGCCCTCACAAGGCTCCTCGTTCGTGGGGCCCTCAGAAGGCCCCCCACAGGGTTCGTAGGGTCCTCACAAGGCTCCTCACAAGGTGTCCCGGGGATGCCGCTTCGAATGTAAAACTGTCAGAAGGGTCTAGGGACTCTCGGGGGTTCCCAGAGGCCCTCGGAGGTACCAGAGGCTCTCAAGTTCCAGGAGGCATTCAAGAATTCTCCGAGGTTCCCAATTGCAGGATATATCCCAGAAGATTGCAGAGTTAGCCTCTCAGAGATACTCAGGGGCCTTCACAGGGGCCTCAGGGGCACGTATGATCTCAGAGGACCTCGATGTGTCTCCAGAAGGTTGCAGGGGGCTCGTATAACACCTCCGAACTTTTGAGGATCGCGGTCGAGGTTGAGCCCCCTCTTCCGAAAATCAAAAGCAAAGCTGGCCACGCACAGCTTTAGATAAGCAGAGGGGGAGGGGGGGGGGGGGGGGGGGGGGGGGGGGGGGGGGCAAACATATAACCTCCGAGCACACGAGACAAAGCCTTACCTCGGTTGGTCGGCCCTATCCACATTATGATATATTGCACTCGTTTTTGTATTCCCTCTCCTCCTCGCGCTCCGCCCATGTTTTTCGATATTATCCCACAGCGCAGTTCCTCCTTCTCTGCCCTGTCAGCGCTACCCCGTCTCCTTTACCCCCACCCTCCTCCTTTCCGCTGCTACAATCAACGAGACAGAATATAACCCACCAGCCCTTTAGGGCGTCGGTGGTTTAACGAGTTTCCTCGTCCACCCCTCCTTCTTCCCCTTCGGGGAGGGGTTTACCCCCCCCCTACCCCCTCCCCACTGATCTGGACAGGGGGGGCCGCGATCGGTCAGAGCGTCCAAGATCGACCCCTGGGAGGGCTAAAACTGACACCACCCACGAGGATCGTGGCTCCTGAGGGGGGGGGCTGAAATTTAGGACCCCCCCTTCGTTGATCGATCTCCTCCAAGATGGCTCCGAGAGACGTCTTGGGCCCCCTCCCGGGCCCTGCGCGCGGGCGGGCGGAGCGCCGCCCGCCCGCCCGCAAGGCCCAAGAGCCCACCAAAACGTTCGAAGATACTTCCAAGACGCCACCAGGGAAGAGGAAGATGGGGAGGAAGAGGAGGAGGAGGAGGAGGAGGAGGAGGAGGAAGAGGAGGAGGAGCAGGAGCAGGAGGTGAGGGAGGATGAGGAGAAGATGAGGAGGAGAAGGCGGAGGAGGAGGAAGAGGGGGAGGAGAACAGCTGCCGATCATCGGCGCTCTTCGTTCAAGCGCCTGGTGTAGGATGGGCTGGTGGGGATGCGCGAAGCGTCAAGAATTGCGTTTCCTTGGGATGCCGTCCTGTCTGAGCTGAGTATCCGTAACCATTTTGGCTCAATCCATTCCGCTGGCGAGGCGCTGCGCGCGCCTGCGACCTCATGGCGCTGCGCGCGCCCGCGGCGACTTCGCTGCATGCGACGGACAGGCCGTCGCCCGGGAGCTGCTCGATGCCGAGGCGATCGGGGTGGCGGCCGACGACCGCTGCAGCTGGCAGGGCGCCCCTCGCTGCGAACGGCCGTGGCCGCTCAGCGGCCGAGGCGCTCGCGACGCCGAGGTCAGGACGCATGGCGGGCGATCAGCGTGAGTGGCGAGCGGCTCCGCAGACAAGCGGCAGGGCGTCGTCGGCCGACAGCAGTGGTAGTGCTGCAGACCGTGGCTGCCAGATCGTGCGGATCGGGCCCGAGCCGATGGTGGGCAATTTGACTACTGAGGACAAGGCGGCGGTCCGCGAGATGTTCGGCTGCAAGGCGTCGTTCCGGGCGCGACGCAATGGCCTTCGCTCGCTCACAGTCGTCGGCCCGCCGATTGCAGCGCAGCTGGCCTGGGAGTACGCTCGGGAGCGGGTTCGTCACGAAGCTGCAGCGGGCTTGCGCGATAGGCTCAACGACATGGAGGCGGATGCAAGCGGCATCGTGGCCGTAGCAGGCCTGCACGACGTCGAGGACTTCGACTGGGTGTGCCCCACGCTCGGCCCCGACAGAATTTGCGGCGATAAATGGCAGCCTGCTTGCGTGTACGTTAGGCCCGCCGTCTACGCGAGCGCCTCCGTCACTTTCGACGCCAGCAGCTTCCAGTAATCTCAGGGGCGCGCGAGTGCAGCGTTGGCAATGCTGGCCATAGGAAGCGCTTGCATGCTGGTCTCCTGCAAAGTGAAGGAGTGGGAGAGGGGGAGAGAGAGAGAGAGAGAGAGGGAGAGGGAGAGGGAGAGGGAGAGAGAGAGAGAGAGCGAGAAAGAGAGAACAATATGAAGTAGGAAAAGAAATAACACAATTGGGAGTTACCCCCGAGGAGCCAGGAGGTGGAGGAGGAGCAATGAGAAGAGGAGAGCAAGTTGCAAGTTGACTCCAATAGGGGCCACTGGGCTTTCAGGCGGGACCCAAACGCCCGGGGGGGTTCATGCGCAGCCCAGAAAACGTGGAGTGATGCCACTTGGTATGAGTACAGCCTGAGTTTCGGGTTTCTTGGGCCTCTCTTGGGGAGGCACCTCGCGACCCTGCGAACCCGAACGCAAGCTAGCAACGAGAAAGGCAAGAGGGCCCAGGCGAGACCACATGCTTCTGAGGTCAGCTGGAACCCACGTAGAGAACTCTGAGATCTTTCGGCGGGCCCCCTATCCCACCTGGCGGGTAGGCTCGAGAAGGCCCGAGGAGGCCGCAGGAACTCCCAAGGGGCCTCTGGATGGGAACACGCAAGCGTTCAACATTACCGCCCTCTCTCCCTCTCTCTCTCTCTCTCTCGCGCGCTCTTTTGCTCACTGCCCTTGTTTCTCCACAGGGAAGAGTGCTATGAGGAGGTGGAGGAGGAGGAGGAGGAGGAGGAGGAGGGATAAAGGAAGGGAGGATGGCGAATCAGAGGACGCAGCGCGAGGGGGGGCGAAATGGGGGACAAGGACCAGGCGGGAATCAAGAAGCGCCAATGTAAATAGAAGACGCGTCAGCTCGACTGAAATGCACTCCCCCGTTCAAAGCGCCCTGTCTCACTCGCTCTCTCTCTCTCTCTCTCTCTCTCTCTCTCTCTCTCTCTCTCTCTCTCACACCCTCTCTCTCTCTCTCTGTTCGTTCTGTCTGCCTCCCCTTTTTTCACTTTCCCTCTCTCTGCGCAATTCGTATCGGTACTCATGTTTTTGCGAGGGCGTTGTCTCCTCCTCCTCCTCCTCCACTTATCATGTCTCTGTCTGCGTATCCCCTCCTCCTCCTACTCCTCCCCCTCTTCATCCTTCTCCTCCTCTTCCTCCTCCTCCTCCTCCTGCCTTTAGTTCGTTCTACAGTTCTTTCGACATGCCTCCTATTCTTGTTCTGCCCCTCTCTCTCTCTCTTTCTCGCTGCCCCGACTACCCCGCTACCATGGGCGGCCCGCAGGCCAGCCCATGGCAGACGGGGCGATCGCCAGCCACAGCTCGGCGATCAAGAGACGCAAGCGGCCTCTGCTCGCCTCGTCGCCCTGCTCGTCGATTTCGGCACTGGCATCGGTGCTGGTCAGACACGTCGGGGCCGACGACAGCGAGTTCGTAGACGACGACGAGGATCTAGGTGCCCCAGATGAGGTCAGAGTAGGCTTGGTCGGAGGATCCCGCCGCATCGCGATGAATCGGCGATGCTGCGACGCGATGCGGGGTTCAACTGTTTCCCATGCTAGTTGCGACGATGCGTTGCGACGTTGCCGACGCATCGACGATGCATCTGCCAGGCGGCGGCATCCTCCGACCTACTCTACTGAGACACCATGCAGTTGGGGCCTCAGGAGGCGTCGAACATCGACCGGGCGAAACGTGCACTTCGAGGCTGCCTGGACGAGTTTGCGTCGAGCGCGACGCCATGCGGACCTCTGATCGACAAAACTCTTCGTTTCCAGCAGTCCATGGACCAGACGTCGACATGCATTACTCTAATCCGATGGCGCATTTGTGGAAGGCGTGCCAAGAGAGCCCAGTATTTGCTGAATATTTACGCATGCGCTTTGGAGACCGCCCGGGGCCCCTGATTCTTCACCGAGACGAATGCGCACCTGGGAACCAACAGCGCCCAGACCATGGGCGCAGCGTAATGTGTCAGCACTTCACTCCTAAGGACGCGAGAGCGAAATTCGTCCCTGGGCACTTGGCCCGCCCACCGCCCTATGCATTAGGAATAGCAAGCGAGGCTGACCGAACATGACCGAACCCCGTCAATTGAGCGAGTCAGCGGGCTCTGCCCATCCCCACTTCGAAACCACGCGTCGAAGCAGGGAGCAAGAGAGCTGAGGCAGGATCAGGCGAGAACGAGGAGGGAGCGAGCAGGAGGAGGAGGAGGAGGAGGGCGAGGGGGAGAAGGTGGAGGGGAGGAGGGCGAAAGAGAAAGGAGGAGGAGGAGGGCGAGGACAAGGAGGATTTTAGCACGCGAAATGCAGAACAGCGGCGGGATCGAGGCCAGTCGCCTGGCGCGGCGCATTTCTGCTCACGCATGGGGATTCCCACCGGACTTCAGGGCCACGGTGAACGGTTGGTTTGTTTTCAGCACGCTTGAGACTAAACATTTGGCACGCGTTCTTGGCGGGATGAGCGTCGTGACGGCTGCCACTTTGAAGCGATTTTCCCGCCTGAAGGTTTTTGTCTTGATCTGACTGGCATCATGTTGCCGAGTAGGTACTGTGAGTATCATATTAGAATTCGGTTTCAGCTTGTCTGTCAAGACGAAAAAGCGATGAAGGCTGCTTTCGGGGTGATCGGATCCGCGGGGCTTAAGCCTTGCCTCCTCTGTAGAAATGTAGTCGCGGCCTGGTCCGGCATTGAGGATGCGCATTTCGCATCAGTCGGGGCTGCCAGAGCAAGAGATTTAGACTTACACGACCGTGCCTCGATAATCTAGCCGTTGGCCCCAATTCCGCCGACAACACCCGCCGACGGTAGGGCTACGGATCCCATGGCGTGATAGGTTCACATGCCAAGGCGTGCAACTTCATGTATAGACATATGCACACCCCAAACAGGAAAGCGATAGCAAGCTCGTTGCCTTGAAATTCGAGGCGGCGGTCGCAAGAAGCCCTCGACGCCGCGAGGCGAAGTTACGAGCTCTACCCACCACTGCCCAATGGGAACTTGCGCCAGAAATGTAAAGATGCGTTTAAACTACACGGTTTCAAACACGTTCCCGGGGGCCTTCTTCAAGACGCATATTGCAGGGGAATCGCGGAGCCTTCAGAGTGTGTTGTGTTCGACAATATGCACAATATATTGGCGTCTGGTGGGCTCGCACAATATCAGGTCAATGCGTTCAAAAACAAATTGTTAGAGGAGACTGCCATCACAGCTGAAGATCTCGATGAGTTCACGTCGACAGTGGCGATCCCCCGATCGTATTCGAAGCCTCCGAAATCATTCTTTTCCAGCCGCATCGTGCGCAATGCGACTTCGCACTGCAAAGGGCTTGCAGGTGAGATGATCACAATAGTATCAATGCTCGTGCTGTTTTGTGAAGTTGTTTAGCTCCAAGGCACATATTGGACGATCACGTCACATGCGTGCTCTTGTTGGGCCAGGTTATTGATTGGCGCGTGATTGCCCATGAGTCGGTCTTGTTGCGGCACTGCCAAGCGTTGAACAATGTACTAGACAGGTATTTGGGTGCAGCCACAGCGTTGCATCCCTGGGTCGAGCGGCCGGAATTGCATTACCTACAACATGCCCATGGTGCCGTGGCCAGGCACGGCGTTAACATCACGTGCTTCGCACCAGAGCGGCGCCACAAGGTGACGACATCTGTCGTGGAGCATACTTTCGCAGATCACAACGCAGCCACGCACCCCATCAAGAAAAACGTGTACTTGCATATTCAGGGTCTGAAGGAGCCCAAGACGTTCATGGGTACCTACCGGCACCGAGCTCGGAGCCTTGGGGACATCAGTGGCTGGACGTCTGGGCTGGCAAAAAAAGATCCCCGTTGGTTTTGACTTGTTCACGCGTTGCTCGGCCCCTGGTGGCCTTCGAGGGCATAGGTGACTCGGGGCCCGCGAGGGCCGATTCAGCAGACATGATCGTGGCCACCCCGGCGGAAAGCGAGGGCCCAGGGGAGGGAAAAGCATGCGGAGGGAAAAAAAACAGCGTGGAGCAAAAAGGACGGAGGCTGAGGGGAGGGGGAGGAGGAGGAAGCACGCGCGTTTCCCCGAGGATCTCAGAATTGCTGGGTTTCCACAGACGCGAGATCCAAATGTGGGCGTCGACCAGCATGAGAACGCCCCGGGGCACGTTGCATCTGTCCGACCTGCTATGGTTTGTGGAAGCTGGCAAGCTTATAGTAGCTAGGCCAGTTATGTTCATTCAAATGAACTCGAACTTTGCAGTGTTGGCGATTGTATTTGAGAAGAGCGGCGACTCCCTATGCCGCCCAACTTGCGGGGGGCCAGCAGTCCTTCCAGTCTCGGAGCTGGGGGGATCACTCGCGCTCGCGAGAATGCCAGGGCAATCGATTCGGCCCCTTTTCCCAAAATTGCCGATTGAGCTGCAAGCCGCGGGCACGCAATAGCGCAAGAAACGGCAGGGGGGAGGAGGCGGAGACGACGAGGAGAAATGCGGGTAGGAGGAGGGCCACGATGAAGAGGAGGAGGAGGAGGAAAAGACGAGGAGGAAAGGAGGAGGAGGAGGAAGACAAAGGACAATAAGAATGGATACTGTCGCGGAGCGACCCCAAGTGTACAGCTTCGAGGGGTCTGGTTCAGCTCTGGTGCCAGCTCGGCCCGTGGACACGGCTGGCACGTGGCATTGCTTGTTTTCCGCGTCCTCGCGTTGCTGCTGATGTGCAGTTACCCTGTCAGTTGTGCGAGTGTCGATCGCGCCCACACCCTCCTCCTCCTCATCATCCCCCTCCTCATCCTCCCCCTCTTGATCCTCCTCCTCGTTCGCCGAAGGCGTCGGTGACGCAGGCGCCCCCGGCGTGTCCCTGAAGGCGCCCCCCCCCCCCCCCCCCACTCCAGATTCTGATGAAAATCCTGAACTGGAAATATTAAGTTCTAAGCGAAAGCTATATGAACTAATGGCAATGAAGATGATAATCTTTTACTGCTTTGACTTGAGCCAGTACGTTGCAGTACGGTGCTGCTTCTAGCG